TTTCCGGCCCTTATTGTTGCTCCTAATGACAGAAGAGGAAGCGTGGCGTGATGGGGCGTTTTCTCGCTGTGTGTACACGATAAGCATTCTGGAGAACGCCCGCTTATCAGGTGTGTGTCTCCCGCCAGGCCCCTGCGCCGTGGTTGCAACTGTAGTCCAAGCAGCGCGGCACGGTGCCTGCAGTGGATGTCGGCCGCCGCGTTCTCATTTCATGCCGCCGCACACAACTTTGCGCGGCAACAAATAGTTGTTCTGTTCCACGTTCTGCCGCAGGAAGGACACATATTACAAGGGCTCTTTATATCTGTCTGTACATCTATTTTTTTTCTTCCTCGGTGGGGGAAGAGGTCGGGTGCTGTGAAGCTGTATACTTTGCTACACTCGTGATTTGATTAACAAGAAATCCAGCTCAAGCACAGCCACTCTGCTGCCCCTTCCTCCTCCTCCTCCTCCTCCTCCTCATCTTCCGCTCCTCTCCTCCACCCAGCGCCTTGGTTCGCTGCCTGGTTGGGCTGACCTGGCAGTGTAAACAAGAGAAATGTTTTTCTCACTTTAGCCAGTTTTATAACCACACTTGCAGCGTTAACGGCAGCCTCCTTGTCTACAGGCAGTTACCCGGTGGAACAAGCTTTTGCACCTATACTTCAGATTATAAACTATAATAGTTCTACTTAAACTACACGGCGTGGCATTGCCTGTTTTGCTAAATAAACTTAACCACCACCCTTGTGGATGTGAACCACATGGGCCCCTTTGTATTGGTTTTCCTGTGTGCTTGTCTTGTGTGTCTCTTCTTGCTTATCTATCTATGCATGGGCCTCTTAACAAGTGCAGGCCAAACATGTTATCTCACAGCTAACACAACACGTTATATCTTTGGCGGTTTGCTTCCAGGCAGGGGAGAGTTGAGGGAGTGTCACATTTACAGCAGGCATTTTGCTGATTTACGAGTTGAGAAGTCCTGTAAGTGTCCGTCAAATGGCAGACACATTTTCCTCTTATGCTGCCACTAGGCTAGATGGATATTTTCCCTCTTTTGTGCGTTTTGTAAGGGAGCCAAGAGACATAGTGTGCCCAGTCCAACTGGTCAAATACTGTGGTCAGGAAGAGCATAAAGGCTGATGCAGCGGGAGGCTGCATGACAGTATCTCCCTGTGAGCTGGTCTGATGCATTATTCTATTAATACGCAGAGATGAGAGGGCTAGAAAGGCAGACAGGATGATAAATAGCGGTGGGCGTGAGAGAAAGAGAGCAAGGGAGACCATGCAGTGTCAAGCTCCAGCTCCTTGACTGAGGGCAGAACTCAGGCAGAAGAGGAAGCAACTCAAGGATAGGATGCTGCGTGTGGATGTGTGGCTCTTCAGCAGGGAGTTCCTTGTTGTGTTCAACCCCAGAGACACGGTCCCAGTTTGTCCGCCGGTGGTTCTGTCGACCATAATGTGTATCTGTGCATACAGATGGGTGACAAGTAACGCAGATGCTTATTCTTACAGAATAAAGAGGCTCACTAAATTATTTGGTCTCTGCAACTTTACACGTATTGGGGAGTTGGACTGACATGTTCATTTCCAACTTCCATATGGCAGAATATCAGAGGATTTCCTTGAAGTAGCTCTAACTCGGTGAATTGAAGCTCTTCTGGTGGCCCAACACTTCATCATACGTTGTTCTTTGTCTTCCTTTCGCCTGTGTCGGGGTGCTCATAAAAGATGTGGAGGTGCGGTATAGTGAAGAGCTCCAACACCCGAGCAGCAGCGAAGGGTGAGATAATGCTTTGTCTAGACAGTCAAAAGTCATTTCATTAGCCAGCGATTCGGGCCTCCCCCTCCCTCACCTTCCAGCCCCGCAGACGCTTGAATGTCCAGTAAAGAGACAGGGTCATCAGAGCGTCTCGGCCCGTGTCGGTAGCCATTAGCCCCCAGGAAGTAGTCCAAATATATCCAGGGAAGGGACCATCGACCAGATTACCGGAATAGGGGATGGCTGGGGTGTGTGTATATATATATATATTTATTTTTATAGCCAACTTAAATTGTTCCAAACAATGACAACATTTAAAAAGCACTGTTTTGTATTAAAAGACTCTTCTGTAGGTTTGGTGGGTTTCCGAAGGAGTCCTCATCAATGCGCTCCGTCGTGTTGTCGGTGGAGTATAAGTGACGGGCTTAATAAAAGAGAGCAAACAGAAGCAGGTCACAGGCTAGAATGCGAGGGCCACTCATGGCCCCGCTCTTCACGCTCTGTTGTCCTTTCCCTCCTTTTTTTCGGTACATCTCTCGCCCTCAGATGGCATGCAGAACAGTCCTGATCCTCCCTAAAAGAAGATTAACAAAGGGCTGACAGATAAATAATCTCTCTGAAAACACTGACTCCTATCATTTCAACACGCTGCCTCCACACATTGGAAAATGCCTCTCTGGTATGCTTAATTGCAGTGGGCGGGACACACGGTGGCTTTAGGTATGCTAAATGGAACGACCTTGCCTACCGAAGGCATTCAAACATTGTAAATGTGCAACAATGGGCCTTTACAATTTAAAACTTGGCAGGTTCAGAAATTCCGACAAACTTCATGAGGACATTGTCAAGAGAAAGTCTTCGGTGCCTTCTTGTTTGGTTAGAGGGTTCGGTTGATTAGCTTCTAGATCATGATGTTTGAACTTCAGTTTGGATGAAGGGTGATTCATGAGGACTGCAGCAGCTTTTCCCAATGCTGTATACTCGGTCACGTTGTTGCCTGTGTATGTTGTCATGAGATAAAATTCCAGCCGTTTGACCTCTAACTTTTGGTCTATTTATTGACTTTATCTGGGTTGCGCACGGGGCTCTAAACCGGGGCTCTAAACCGCTGTTTGTGCAGCCTTGAGTTTTGTGGCAAAAATCAGCTGGGCAGAATTTCCTTTTGTCAAAGCTGAATTTCAAGAATGTCCTGGTCATTTCCAAATATTTTCGTTAGCTTTGTTTCAGAGGCTTCCCCAGTTGAAGGGAACATACGTGTCCTCCAGTTCATTGCACCATATATGCAATGTCAAGTGAACCCTTTGACCAAAATGTTGAACCTGACGGAGAGTCAATGACTGACTAAGATCGGGGGGTTGGGGAGGAACTCATGTGATGCTAATGCAAAGAGCAGCACGCCCATCGCCCGGCCCGGTGCGACCCACAGCTATCCTTAATCCCGCTGGCAGATATTTAATGTTGGAATTTTCCATGGAAGGACCAAGCCGGCTCTGCGTCTGTCCATCCATCTTTGTGTCCATCAGTCTGCGCCTGTGATTATCCCGCCAGTGCTCCGACGCTGCTCAGTGACGCAACTCATCATTCAAATTATTTTTAGTGTAAAGTCCAGGCACAGGAACTGGTAATCCAAGGAGTGACATCTGGCCGTCAGGGTTTATGTGATTAGCAGAGAGCCTCGTCCCTCATAGCTTAGCGGACGATCTTCGTTACCTCTCCGCTCTAGAAGCGCGTGAGCGCTTGAAGCAGCAGAAGAACAAAAACTCGATGATTGTTCATATGTACATACATTATGTGCAGATGGTTGAGGCCCAAATAAGTCTTTCCGAAAGCCTGTGTTGCCACATCAGCTACTGCACAAAACCCACCCAAGTGACAGTGAGCTCCCACAATGTGCACTGCATCTTCAATCCTTCAGCATTAGGGCTAAGACCAGATGACCAGGCAGATAACTAGTAAATCCAAGCAGGGCCATAGAGCAACTAAAGAAAATCTAGACAAGGAGGATGGAGAGGGTTTAAGACTGTTAAAATAAAACAAAGTAGTGGACGCCTGCCAATTTCCTACTGAAATGATCACCATGACAAAGTGACCAGGCACGTCTCCTCCTGGGATACGTTCTGAGAGCAAAACCTTCCAGCCTTCAACATGACAATTGGACAACTCAGCAGCAAGCTGTTTGCATGCATGGCCCTTTCTAATGTCAGCGTAATGTTTCTAATGTTTGCGTTCTTTGATTCCGGCATCAGTCGATCTACAGCGAGGCCTAATTGCGCGGCCGTTGCCGCGTCCAGGTGGAAGCTCTTAGCTTGATAGCAGTACGCCAATATGGGGTTTAATTGAAACAGTTTAAACAGAGCATTACCGCACGTCTCGTATAATCTTCTTTGTGCTGTAATATTCATGTCAATGTTACAAACAAGCCTGTTTGCAAAAAGAGAGATAAAGAAAGGGACTATTTTTGGGCCGTTGTTTGCTTGGAGAAGCTTTTGCTTATTCTGAGGCAGCTTGTTCCCAGGAGTTCAGCGCACCGCCTCGCTGCAGTTCTGCTTTTGTTTTGTTTTCTTCGGGATGTGTAGTTGTGACAGAGTTCAGTGCCCTCCTGTTCTCATACTTATTTGACTAAAATGTTTCCCTCAACCTTCCCTAAAGTGAGCAATTGTGGACCAAAAAGTGCAGGGGTTGTGTGTGTAGACAGGAAAGGAAATTGCAATCTCTCAGACTTCTTTGTGCGCATGTTTTTGTGTATGTTTTTGTGGTGGTTGTCTGTCTCCGTGCAGTGACCCATGAAGGACGCCCTTTTGGTATTCACTTATAGCCTATTTACTTTGCAGCAGATGTGAACGGTGGAGAAATTATATTTCCTGAGCACGAACCAGTGGTTTCCATGAGTCTCGTGCTAAACTATCTGGCTTTTATTTATGTTACATAACAATAGCAGAAACAATATTTCCCTTAACCACCATTTTAATGATGCAGAGAATAATTTAATGCAACAAATGCTTAATTACATTTTGAAGGTAATTTAATGCTTGTTAGTTTACTACGTTATTAGAGGTTAGTTTTACAGGTTAACGTCCTGACCCATCAGCATTTATGCTCGGTCCTTTACGACCTGCTCTGACCCAGGCTGTCTTTATTTAAAGCTACTGGCTTTACCACTCGTGTTTCAGACCACTCTCAGTTTCCTAACCTCTCCCTTTCATCCCCCTTCTCTCCTCTTTGCTCCTCCCCTCCTCCCCACCCCCCCCCTTCCATTCACAGGTATGGCCTCGCAAGTGCAAGTGTTCTCCCCTCACACTCTCCAATCAAGTGCCTTCTTTAGCGTGAAGAAACTGAAGGTGGAGCAGAGCTGTAACTGGGATATGACAGGGTACGGCACCCACAGCAAAGTCTACAGCCACAACAGCAGCAAGAACTTGTCGGCCGCCACCGGCCCCCTCGGCATCAACAGCTCCCTGCAGGTCGCCAAATCCGCACTGCCCTACGAGCATCCGGCACTCATCTTCCCGGCCAGCGTGGGCCACATTGTGGTCGCCTCAGCCAGCAGCACTTCGGGGGCCGCGCGGTCTCTGCTGGGCAGCGGGGGTGGAGGCAGCAGCAGCAGCAGCAGCGGTGGTGGAGGCGGCGCCGGGGTCGGCGGGGTGCTCGGTGTTCACAACCTGACGCGCCGCAGCACGGTCAGTCTCCTCGACACCTACCAGCGATGCGGGCTGAAGCGCAAAAGTGAGGAGCTTGACAACAACAGCAGCGTGCAGATCATCGAGGAGCACGGCCCGGCGATGATCCAGAACGGTGCAGCCGGCGGGGTGGCGGTGGCCACCGTGGCCACCGCCACCTCCACCGCGACGTCTAAGAACAGCGGCTCCAACAGTGAGGGCGACTACCAGCTGGTGCAGCACGAGGTGCTCTGCTCCATGACCAACACCTACGAAGTGCTGGAGTTCCTGGGACGGGGGACCTTTGGTCAGGTGGTCAAGTGCTGGAAGAGGGGCACCAACGAGATCGTGGCCATCAAGATCTTGAAGAACCACCCGTCGTACGCCCGGCAGGGTCAGATCGAGGTCAGCATCCTGGCCCGTCTCAGCACGGAGAGTGCAGATGACTACAACTTTGTGAGGGCCTACGAGTGCTTCCAGCACAAGAACCACACGTGCCTGGTATTTGAGATGCTGGAGCAGAACCTGTACGACTTCCTCAAGCAGAACAAGTTCAGCCCCCTGCCGCTCAAATACATCAGACCCGTCCTGCAGCAGGTGGCATCGGCGCTAATGAAACTGAAGAGCCTGGGCCTGATCCACGCTGACCTGAAGCCAGAGAACATCATGCTGGTGGACCCGTCCCGGCAGCCCTACAGGGTCAAGGTCATCGACTTTGGCTCAGCCAGCCATGTGTCAAAAGCAGTGTGCTCCACTTATCTGCAGTCCAGATACTACAGGTAAGAGCTGCTGCTTCTGCATTGAGTTGATATTGTTTTGAAATGGATGTGAAGGACTTTATTTAGGCATTTTATGTAACACTGTTGATCGGAGGGAGGGAATGGCACAGAGAGAAAGCGATACGTCCTCCTGTTTGTTTGTGCGCGTTTTCTTTGGATGATCATTGTACTCTCTGCATCTTGTTTGATTTATCCCGGCTTTAATAGGAATGTTTTCCTGGTTGAGCTGATTATTTGGCCAAACACCCAGATTTGCTGCCAGCCTTGTGAGCTGCTGCTGATTCTGCCTTTCCTGTTAGCATATTTACCCCCGTAGTCAAACCCCTTTCCAAGTCTGCGATAGAACAGTAAAACTCAAAGGCTTGCTTAGTAGCCAGCTGCTTATTGTGTTTAGTGTGATTGAAAACAACCATGTTGTGGTACGACTTTGAAGATTATCAAAGGCCTGTTTCGTTCCTTCAGAACTTAGTGAGTCCTGGTGAAGATATGAGTCACCGGGGGGGGAATATCGGAAGCAAGGACATGTATCACTGTCATGTGGAGTTTCCGGGGAAGAATTTATAAGAACCCTCCCATTGAAGAAGGGCACCAATCGTGTGGGGTGGCAGCCTGCCCTGGACCCCGAGCCCCACATCCCCGTAGCCGGCTCCCATTTCCCCCCGGGATAGAGATGAGGGGTCAGCCCGAGTTCTCCTGTAATATGTTCCTGTAATCCACACCAGCGGGCCCTGCATTAGAACCAGATGAGTCTCTGGGAAGGCCTTTCTTCCCTGTCCCAGCGCTTCTTGAACAGGCCTTTTTTTCGCCCGCACCAAACAGCGTGTTTAGGTTACAGCGGAAGGAAGCATCGGGGCGACGGGGCGCAGAATCGAACAGTGTCCTGAGTGTGTTTCCTGTAAGCTTGCGAGATTAACAGTACAGCTGACTTAGTGTGAACAGTATTGCAAGAAATCCTCAGTGCCTGATCTTTCATCACATCTACTAGAGCATTATTTTATTCTAGCAGTGCTCCACATAACCATCTCTTGGACCACAATATACGACGGCCCCTGCATGGGGAAGAGATTGTTTGTGTCAACAGGGCAGCGGTGCTGCATCCATTTAAGTAGCTCATCCTGAAGTAAACACCACTATCAGCCTATTGTTGCTCCTGGGCTGCAGGTCAACATGCCATAAAGTGTTCCTGTTGGTTTTCTGTGGGAGGGGGAGCAGAGTGATCATCCCTTCATTTCCTATCGGCAGTAGAGGAGGGGAAAGAAAAGCCTGACCAGAAAATGACCCACCAGCCACCAACACCAGTTTGTCACATTGGGAGTGTGTGAGTTTGCGCGTCACAGGGTTTTCTGCAGCTCATAATGCATGTAGAGCATGTCAACAACAAGAGGGTGCTTGCTTTACCAGGTCTCTTTGTGAGGAATGAGGCAAGTCTTACAATTTCATTTCAAAGAATGAGCTCGGGAGAGCGGCACTGCGGGTGTCTCAGCATCGCATGCCGTTTGGGCAGCAAAACAAACTTTTGCTGCGGGTAGAGTTCACGGCGAGTTCAGACGCTTAGAGGAGAACATCAAACCATCTTTGAGGATTTCAGATGAGAAGATTGCAGGGATAGTTTCTGTTTCTGCAGAGGGTACGTTTAGAGGGTAGAGATTACACACAGGTGGGATTTCCCAGCTCCAACCTGCTGGCTCCGTGTTACTCTATATCCTCCACGATAGAAAAAACACAAGCCGTTGTCTTCTTTGGTCCTTGTTAAATAAAGTTACTTGCCTCTTTTCTTTGTGCATTTAAGGTTTTTTCAACCAGCCCTTTCATTTTGGTTGATGAGATGAGATATGGAAAGGAGGAGTTGTGAGTCATTCGAGGCCGACTGCAGAGAGTGCACATGCCATAGTTAGCGTTGCATGTGCAGTAAGAGCCTTGCAAATGACTTATGGATTTTCCACAAGGTTGACTCATGCAAATTAAACACCAGGATTCAAGGTAAACAAGAGATGTGCTATTCGCGAGAACATCTCTCAGGGCGCTTAGAGTTTCAACTTTGTCCGCTTCAGTGCTTAGCGAATACAGGCTCATGTGGCTGAGCTCATCTATCCTTGTCAAATAGGCCCGTCTGTAGCACTTCTACGCTCGTCTCCAAGGTTCTTGAGTACAGTCTTCCACACTATTATTTCAGTGTATTTTTACCTCACTTACCCGCGTGTCCTGCTAACGCGTCTCTTTTTCCTGTTCCGTATCATTGCGAGGCGTTTACGTCCTCATTACAACAACTTGCGACCCAGCCGTGGTCCCACTTCTTTTATCCTCACTTCCTTTTCTGACACCCTTCCAGCATCTTCCCCATAGCTAATGATGTCACAGGTAAGCCGGCTAGCCAAGCCTACCCTGTGCCAGATAAAGGGATTATCGTCTCGTCCCAGTAAGGCATGTTTTGTCCTATTTATCTCATCAGGTGAAGGCCTTGAAATGGGTGGAACGCAGCGAGACATTATTTAGGTTAATGTTAAGTATCCCGGGCAGTGCAGATGGCAGGAGCCGGTGATGTGAAGGCTGCAGAGTGCGGCCTCGAGATGTTAGGAGTAATCAGTACAAAGGCCTTGTCTTTTCTGTCAAGGAACCGTATGTATATTCAGTGGAGCTCTGCATGGTTGCGGGAGTCTACAAGCTCCTTATAGCTCCTTTTCATGCTAACTTTTTGGGTGCACTCATGAAGGGCGTCTTGGAGAGACTGCCTGAAAGCGTGCACCATTATCCCAATATTTAAATAATTCATTATCGATTTTAGCTCTTCAGAACATCTTAGCAGATTTTGCCTTAACATGTATTTTTACATTACATTTATAAGATTACCGTCATAGTTTTTTGCCTTCATCGGGAGGACGGATATAGGAGAGGAAAGAGGGGCGACAACATGCAGCAACGACCCGGGATTTCAGCCTGTGGCCCTTTGCTATTTGTGTGTTTTCTTTTTCCTTTACACCTACAGATGAGGCTTTCTCACATTGGCAGAGATACTTTCTACAAGACAGCGAAAGGACAATTTTAATGCCATGACAATAAAAACTCTTGATATTAACAACCCGGATACCAGAAGCTATAATGAACATGGTGTCAGCCGGCACCAGCAGCTGAGGAATAAGCCTCTAACACAATGTGGGTGAAGGTAAAATAATTCAACTTTTTTTCTAAAAGAGAGGAAAGGGGTTCTTGATGTCCCCAGTGATCTGAAGTGACCAATGTCTGTGTACTCTCGATGCGGATCAGCGTGCAGCAAACGGCCCCTGGCAGAAGGGATCTTCTTAATGCATTCAGATGGAAACTTCCCAAAAAAAGCTCAAATGATGGAACGCTCCACACTCCACTTTCAGAGCCCGTCTTTCTTATTCATGTTGGCAGTAAATGTGGGTGCAGCTGATGCCACAGCAGGATCGCCGGCACCGCCGGGCTTATGTCGAAGCCTTAATAACTAATATATACTGAAATATGTATCTGTCGGGCGCCGTCTCAGTTTGGACTCAGTGTACGAAGAGCCCTCGCCCCGCCTGTCTATCTATCTCTCTATCTGTTGTTGCACAGGCAGACAGGCCAGGCGTTCCAGCACATTTACCCTGCCTCCGTGCGAAACATCAAGGGTATTTTTTTAATGAATGAGGTTGCTATTAGTTACTGTTTTCTGAAGCGCGCGTTAAAGTGTGTGCCACAGATGGAGGGAAAGGTAACGGCAAGATCATGTTGCCACATAGGAAAGATGGATTAGAACAGGTAGTGTTGGAGTTGTTTGTGTGAAGATCCTCGAGGAAGTATCGTATATTGGATGGAAAAGGGGGGGAGTGGAGGGTTGAGCGACGGAGCTGTGTGTGTGTGTGTGTGTGTGTGTGTGTGTAGAAGGTCGTTGTTTTGCATTCCTCACCAGCACCTGGAACAGTGCTCTATCCCCCCGAGCCTTGGCAGATTATTACTAATGCAGATGAGCCTTTATTAAGTTCAGCCTGACCGGGTTCCTGCTGTCGCACATTGGGACTTTTCTGCTGACTTATTTTATTTTTCTTAAATGTAATATTTCCAGCCTCTGACCACTCAGAGCCTGCACCGTCCTGTTATTGGTGACAGTAATTGCAGAAATTATTGGCCGCAGTAAGGAAATAAAAAAGAAATACCCGCCAAAATGGTAATTAATGCTCTCTGTATTCACTCGTGTGCTCTTTATGACAGTCATAACACCTTAGTATGCATGACAGAATCCTAATAACCTGTTTCTCATTCATAATTTGCCTCTGGGCAGCTTCTCCATGTGTCTCAGCTGGAGCAGGCGACAAGCAGGAGACATGTTGCAGCTAAGCTAATTAGCTACCGGTTGTCAAGCATATGCATTGGGAACATACACAGTTGTCAACCGCTTACAGCCAGTTTCGCCAAATAACAAATGAGAATGATTTAACTCTGAAGGAGAAAATGTACTCGGCCACCTATAGTTCATGCATGCACAAATCAATACACTCGGACATGGCTGCACAGGGTGTGTGTTTGTTTGTGTGTAGCGCGTTTGTGTCTGTGTGCTCCTACGATAATACATCGCCTTCTGTTTCGTCACGTCGGTTCATCCTGGCTACTTGTCTTTGTGCTACTTTGCAGTTCAATTCCCATACATTTCCCAGGATATTAAGCAGACGGAAATTAAGCTGCTTTGATAAGATACAGTGATCCGCCCACTTAAGCTCAGGGACGTTGCTCTATATTGATCGGGCCTGTTTGAAACACAGGACTTTTCGGGGGGGTCGCCCTACGACAGGAAAGGCTGTAAGACAAAATGGAGCGGCTGGTCATTTAAATGTCCAAGCTCAACTGTGGGGTTGCGACCGAACAGAACAATGGGGAGAATCTCACTTCATTAACTGGACGGGTGAAGTTTCCCTCAGCAGTAGTCGTACTTTGCTCGCTCGCCACATATTTTTGTCCTTCTTTCGCGGAGTCGAGCACCGTGGGACGGCAAGGTGATGGCTGCG